GATGTGTTAGACTCTGTGGTATCTTTTTATATCTCCAGCTCACCAGGATATATCGTATCGACAGATTTACAGATGCGTCAATATTCTGTGTAAAACTTCTTGCCTTTTCAGAAGTTAATGCTCATATGCATAATAAATTGTGTAAGTACACCCTATGATAATACTGTTATTACACGTAGTACCTGCATCAAGAGAAAGAAGAGAATCTGAAATGTTTGTTGTGATTTACTATAGAAATGTTTTGTCAGGCACGTAGTATCGGGGGGGGGGGGGGGGGCAGAGGGGGGCCTGCCCCCCCTACTTTTTCCCCGAACATTACGTTTACTATAGAAAATGTTTACTGAAAGGGAGGTTGCCCCCCCCCCCCCCCCCACATTTCACGACAGTGTAGTATTAAAAAGAAAATTTACCCCCAAAATTTGAATTGAAAGATAAAGGAAAAGATAGCCACTACCCCCCCCCCCCCCCCCCCCCCCCCACGAAATAGGATTTTCGACGTTGGGCAACTTTAACTTCCTATTTGTTTTTTATTTATTACTTTTTTTGCCGACTTTTTCAGGTAAGTAAAAAAAGATTTTCTCAGGTTGGCCCCCCACTTTCAAAAACTTTCAAAAACGATGCTACGTGCCTGTTTGTGAAAGGCTAAATAAAGAATTTAAATTCGGTTCCCTCCCCTTTACAAAATAGGATTTTCGGGTTAGGTGATTTAAATCCTTTCTTTGTAAAAAACTTTCAGGTAATCCATATTTTTTCTATGGCTGAACCCCTGCCTCCAAATTTCGAAAAATGAAACAGTGTACTACAACCCTGTATCCTACTGAGTTGTTTATATAAACGTACATTGTAACAACTTCCTTTCTCTTCAACACATCCCCCTTCCTTTTGAAAAAATTCTTGATCCGCGCCTATTGCTTGGAGACCTTTGTTCGGACAACGTGCACCTGATCCCAACTTTATGATTTTAGAGTCCGCATTTACTCTGTTACCATTTTGTTTTGTTTCAGTGAACTTTTGTTATCTCTGCCGCATTTCAGTCAGTGTTTTATAAAAGTTCAACCATGTACTTTCACCAGAATTTGTGGCATGATGAAAATGTATTTCTGTGTAAAAGTCGGCATGTTGTAATACTTAGTACAATAGTCCTAAGAGATAAGGATTTTGAAATTGCACATTGATAACACACCTGAGTGGAGACTTTATCCATAGACAATAATTATTCTGATAGCATTTCATAGCAATGTGTCTGTTTACCTATCTCCTATGCGGTATATACATTTTCTTTCTTTCTTTCTCTTCCTCTCTCTCTCTCTGTGGATAATGTTCTGATACATTTTTCAATCTTTCAATTCCATTTCGTTTTTTTTCCCAGGACTCTCTTTGCTGACTTTATACACCGCTGAAGGTAAGATTTTTATCAAGTGCGAGCTCATCATGTCTTTGTTCAAAAAGGTATGTTTGATTTTTTTTACCCCTTTATTTCGTCCTATATACTAGTAGTTTATGGGACACTCTAAATATTAAATAATTGTTTAAAGTTATTGAAAAATAAACGAGATGAAGTATATATAGATAAAGAACGGTATTCAAGCTCAAAAGTACATAAAACAATACAAAATAAGAGCAGAGCAAACAAGGACCTCCAAATCATCAGAGGTGGAATCAGGTACAATGGGAGAGTGAGCATCCCCTGCCTATAACGAACAATGACATGCTCAAAATTCCATTCAAACAATAAACCTGCCTTGAACAAATGTCATGAAGGAATAATCATGCACAGTTACATGTAACAAATAATTATGTTAAGCATTGAGAAGCTGTTATCGGTACGCATATTTTAGATTTAAAACGTTTTTACAAGTCATCTTATTTTCTATAATTCCTAACATTTAGTCATTTAGCCTAACATTAAGTGAAGTCAAGGGTGGACTTTTGTGAAATGACATTGAACATATTTTTTGATTTGGTCATCTTGTGGTCAAGTGCTATCAGGATATCTTTTTTTAGGTGTTGGGTTGAGATGTTTACGTTGTGATGACGTCTTAGAGCCTCGTTTTTGTGAGCGAATCGAGTACTGCCAAAACGGTGACGTAAGAGAATATAAATTTAGCATATTTTTCATCCAAATATTTACTGAATATGAAGAAAGCCAGTTCACAAATTGATGAAAAGTTAACAAAGAACTGTACTTAACTTTGAAACATTGTAACTTTGTAAATATTCTCTGTATCATATGAAAATATAAAAAAAAATAACTAACTGCAATAATTGCAAATTTAATGCCAGAAAGAGGGATCTAAAGGAAATGTGTTACTTGGAATGTTGCTTTCTGATTGACTTGACTACCATGAACGTTTTGCTAACCTAACAAACTACAATGTTTTGAACTAAGATATTAAAATTAGTATTGTTTTTAACATGGTTTTATTAATTGACAGGTGTGTGGAGTTCAGAGGTACAGGAAAGAGAACGGAGATACGTCTTTCTGGACTGGTTGTATACAGCAGTCGGTAAACTAACTAAAAACTACTATAGTTCAGTATAGTTTACTGTACTTAGCGGTAGATAACTAAACTCAACATTTTGTTGAGATTTTACGGCTTAAAATATCTCTAAAATGCAAACCGACGATGAAAAAAGTTTTGAAATATGGAAATATGTACTTAAAAAATCTTTAAACATTACGCATTTTTAGGTTTCAACTAAAGAACACACAATATATGAATTTGAAATTCATTGTCAAAATAATTTTGATGAAATATATTAGTAGTAAAATCATTTACTGACAACAGTTCAACATTCAGACTTAGTGAACTATAACAGTTTTGGTAGACCCCCCCCCCCCCCCCCCCCCCCCCCCCCAACCCCCCCCCCCCCCAAAAAAAAAAGTTTGAAATATTGGCGACAAATAAGGAGAATTTTTTTTGAATTTGTTTTTATGCATATGTCAAGTGTAAAACATGAAATGAAAATTAAGGTAACAAGGTAATCTTTTTTTTAATCAATTTTTCACAATGAACAGCAAGATGTGAATCAGACTTTATGTTTTCATAAAACCTTGTTTCTTGATGCTGTGTTGTCACTTAGACTTTTGGTCTCCTGATTTAAATATGTCTTAAAATGACTACTTTTATAAACATATAGAGTTGTCCAAACGTCACCAACAGAACGATTGTACAGACAAACAAACGGAAGATTCATGGATCAGTTTTGTGTCAGGAGTGTTGCCATGGTGATTTATGTAACGCAGAAGGCTGTGGGGCCCCAGGTAGGTCGAGTACTGAATATTTCGTATCATTATGATACAGGACAAACATCACTGTTCTGATAGTAGAATATTTCTTATAAGTTTGATACAGGGCAAATATCACTGCTCTGCAAAAGTCCAATTGATTATCATTAGAAATATATCACATTTTGTGTTATACATGTACATAAAATTGATATGTTCATCTAAATGAACATAGGTTGATAACCTTTGAATGGAATTCTTTTATGTATGCAAGGATATGGCACGCCAAATTCACAAAAATGAGCTAAACATAGTCTCATAGTTGATAAACTAGGTTTATCGACTGTAAACTATAGTTTACAAACCGTGAACTCTAGTTAACAATTCGTCAACTATAGTTTTCATTAAAAAAAACTATATATAATGGTTGTTACTATAGTTTACGAATGCTAATCTACGTTTATCTATCTGTAATAAAACGTTAACAATAGATTTTGTTGATAAACAAAGATTCACGTCTGTTAGCTATAATTTACAATCGTGAACTATAGTTAAGAGTTGTTCATTGTAGTTTCCCAAATCGTGAAACTGTATTTGTCAGATCGTTAACTATAGTTACGAGTTGTAAACAATATTTTACAAATCATGAAACTGTATTTTTCAGATAATCTATGTTTTGCAATCGCAAATGATTGTTTTCAGTGTTAAGTATAGTTTACGGCTCTGAAACATAGATTACTACGTAAACTATAGTTTACAAATGTAAAATAAAGATTAACATTGTTAACTATAGTTTACAGTCCGTGAACTATAGTTTACAACCGATAAACATAGTCTATCGACTGTGAAACTATGTTTAGCTCATTTTTGTGAATTTGGCGTGATATTCAAGGAAAATAATTATGTTTATCAATTTAAATCGATGACACTTGATGATACATGTATTTGGGGTTTTTTTTCATTTCATGACACAACAATATTGATATATCTTTAAAAATTAGACTCTTAGCTACTCGTTTAGAAATGTAAGCAAGAGCTCTTTACGATTTGAAATTAACGTTCATTACGAGAATTTTAATTTTATAGTGTGGCATTTATGTTCGTTTTACCTTAATGTGTTGTAAATAGATGTTTATATGTATTTTTTTTTTTATAATACCAGCCTATCCAACTTCTAGAGGGCCGATCTGTTTTAATTGTGCTCACACCTTAAACCCCTCAGACTGCCATCACGTGACTCTGTGTGGAACCAATGAGGTAAGGGATAGCATATATCTTTATACCGTATAAGCAGAGTTTTTAGCGAGGATTTAATTTTGGCATTATTAGCGAGTGTGCCAAGATCGCTAAAATCTAATATCGCTAAAATTTCATTCTGCTTAAGCTTTATTTGTAAAATCTTTTATAGTGAGCTTTTTAGAATTAAAATTTTAAATTAAAATTTAAAAAAAAAAAAATAAAATAAAATAAAAGTAAATCAAAATTAAAATTAAAATTCGCTAAATTTGCGTCTCGCTAAAATTTCCACTTATACGGTAATAATACATGTACATCAGTTAATTCGAATTTACAAAAGTAACTACCATTATTTGTATGATTTTATATTGATTTGCGGTCCAGTGTAGTGTACATTTTACTTTGATTTGTTGTTAATTGATATGTAAATCAATAGCCTTGTTTATTTATAAATGAAAATACATAAACGACACACAATTTATACATTTATTAACAACAAGAAGCGTTGTTCATGAAAGGAAAGAATCTTGAATTCTCCTTCTGTCCAAAAAAACACAAAAATCCAATGAGGAAATTAATAAATGCAGGTACTCGAACAGTATTCAGTCTCAAATTCCACTAAAACAATAAAAAAAAAATCAGGAGCAGATGAAACAAAGACTTCTTAAATATCAGAGATGAAATCAGGTGCCATGAAGGAGTAAGCATTCCCCTGCTGACCGGTGACACCCGCTGTGTGCTCCTCGTCTTCATCGGGAAAAAGGGAAAATCCGTAGACAATGCTAAATGTAAACAAAAACTAACAATTAGTGTGAAAAACGTCTGTCATCATTTGATATGTTTTATTTACTGACAATGCCATTGAATCGACAAATAAATTTAAAATAATGACTACACCATAATCTAAGCCAACCGTATAGCGGGTTTCTTGAGCTGGTGTAATATTTGGCTATTTTTTTTTTTTTTTTTTGCTAAATTTGAATTTTTTTTGGCGAAGACAAAGTTCAATTACATTGCAAAAAAGAGGAAATTCACCTTTTAGATAAGATTTAGTACACGTGACATTCGTTTGAATACCGATTTACATAAAGGTCTGAGAAAGTACAATGCAAATTGAAAGTTATATTGCTTAAACAACATACTAATCAAACTTATTTAAGTAATTTTTCTTGTATTCAATATTAATAATGATAAGTGCGGCGATTGAAATTTTAGCGACTTACTACCAAACCGCTAAAATAATATAAACCACAGATAGCATACCACTAAAATACGGTCATACGGGTTAATTTAAAATCATATACTGTAGGGAGCTCTGACGATAAAATACCATTTCAACTATAAAACCAATTGTTAATTGCTTTTACGCTTGTGTACGTTATTCAGTATATTATTGCACGACTGTACTTCTAATCAGAGTTAATCAATGTATCCACGACAGATGTGTTTTCTTGGTGAGAAACCTGTGTTTGGACAACGTTACTTTACAAGTCACTGTGAAGATAAACACGTGAGTATACTCTTAACAAATCACCGTGAAGATATAAACGTGAGTATACTCTTAACAAGTCATTGTGAAGCTATGCACGTGTATACACTTAACACGTCACTGTGAAGATATACACGTAAGTAAACATTTAACAAGTCACTGTGAAGATATACACATGAGTATACACTGAACAAGTCACTGTGAAGATATCCACGTGAGTATACACTTAACGGGTCACTGTGAAGATAAACACGTGAGTATACACTTAACAAGTCACTATGAAGATAAACACGTGAGTATACACTTTACAAGTCTCTGTAAAAATATATACGTAAGTATACACTTTACAAGTCACTGTGAAGATATACAAGTGAGTAGCCACTGTGAAGATATACAAGTCAGTATACACTTTACAGGTCACTGTGAAGATATACAAGTGAGTATACACTTTACAAGTCACTGTGAAGTTATACACGTGAGTATACACTTTACAAGTCACTATGAAGTTATATACGTGAGTATACACTTAACAAGTCACTGTGAAGATATACACGTGAGTATACACTTTACAAGTCACTGTGAAGATATACACGTGAGTATTCACTTTACAAGTCACTGTGAAGTTATACACGTGAGTATACACTTTAAAGTCACTGTGAAGATATCCACGTGAGTATACACTTTACAAGTCACTGTGAAGTTTTACACGTGAGTAAACACTTAACAAATTTTCGTGAAGTTATACACGTGAGTATACACTTAACAAGTCACTGTGAAGATATACACGTGAGTATACACTTTACAAGTCACTGTGAAGATATACACGTGCGTATACACTTTACAAGTCACTTTGAAGATAAACACGTGAATATACACTTAACAAGTCACTGTGAAGGTATACACGTGAGTATATACTTTACAAGTCACTGTGAAGATAAACACGTGAGTATACACTAGTCTTAACAAGTCACCGTGAGGTTATACACGTGAGTATAAACTTTACAAGTCACTGTGAAGATAAACACGTGAGTATATACTAGTCTTAACAAGTCACCATGAAGATAAACACGTGAGTATACACTAGTCTTAACAAGTCACCGTGAAATTATACACGTAAGTATACACTTAACAAGTCACTGTGAAGATATATACGTGAGCAAGTATCTAGCAGGTCTCCGTGAATATAAACGTGTAAGTATAAAGCTAACAAGTCACTATGAAGATATACATGTTAGTATACATGTTCACCATACAAGTCAATGTGAAGATATACAAACAAGTTTACACCTAACTATTCACTGCAGAAATAAAAAAAAAAACATAAATCTTTAACCCAACAAGTCACTGTGAAGATAAACACGTTAGTATTACACGTAACAAGTCAGTGTGAAGTTAAACAAGTAATTATATTCCTAACAATTCACTATGAACATACATGTATTTACGTAAATAAAATAGGGATGGCATTTTTAACCGAATGAGGAAGAGGGGGAAAGGGTAATAGGAGTTTATAACAAGAATGAGGAAGAGAGGAAAAGGGTCATAGGGAACTTATAAAACAAATGAGGAGCAAAGGAAATTAAATTTTTAAAGATATAAAACTTATAGGGAGCTTGTTACAAGAATGGGTAAGAGGGGGAATGGGTTATAGGTATCTTACAACAAGAAGTTTAAAGAGGGGAAATGAGTAATAGGGAGCTAATAAGAAGAATGAGGAAGAGGGGACAAGGGAAATAAGTAAGTTATAACAAGAATGAGGAAAAGGGGGAAAGGGTAATAGGTAGCCTACAGCAAGAACGAGGAAGATGAGAGGAGGGCGGAAATAAGATTAAAGATAAGCAGGTGCAGCGGGCTGGGATAGCAAAGGTGATGGGGATACCGAATAAGTAGAATTTTTAGCAAGGATTCAATTTTGGCATTATTAGCGAGGGTCCTCAGATCGCTAAAATTAAATATCGCTAAAAATTGATTGCATTTTATTTGTAATTATAGCTTCTTAAGTAAGTATTTTAAAATCGCTAAAATTACCTCTCGCTAAAAATAAATTACAATTTTTTAAGGAGAAATCGCTAAAATTGCGTCTCGCTAAAATTTCCACTTATACGGTATCGAATATTTCTTTCTTATTCGTATGTAAATCTTATAGGTTGAGCTCACGGCATTTTAAAAATATTGTTAATATTCTAGGCATGTGAAAATCATGTGTCGGCGCCGATTATTGTTGGAAGAAAACGATCTTTTAGGGGCCGTAGGTCGTATGCACCATGCTCAGGTTGTTGCAAAGGGGACCTGTGTAATATCAACTGTAACGCCACCTTTACTTCTGGTACGATCATCAACACAGGACCTACAAACGGTATATTTTCCTTTAAATATTTCATGTCAATATATTTGAAAGTTGATAATCTTATCCTTACAAACATTTATTTTATTTTATATTCATAGTTCTGTTAAAGTAAAGCTTCCGATATTCTCTAGTCTTATATTATTACAAATATATGGGTCATTTTCAAAAAAGGTCCATTTTTTGAAAGATATATTTTTGAAAAATGAAAGTGGTTTTACTATGATTTTTTCAACTTTATTTGAATAATATAGTAATAAACTACTAAAATCCACTGCATTGCATAAAAGAAAGTATTTCTTTTTAAAAACATTGACATTTTATCTTAGTCATTTAAACTTTAATGTCCTTCCTGTTACTTTCATAAAAAGAGCTGTATAACTTTATTTCCAAATTTTCATCAAATTATCTTTTGTATACCGTTAATAAATGAAAAAATTATCATTGAATGCCAAGATGTTTGACATTCATCTAATATATGAGCGTTTAAAAGTATGTAAAACTACCATATACCAAACAGAAGCAAAATCTACATGTTTTTCTTCATGAAAAGTCTTTTTGCGGAATGTTTATATGCTATAGTTGAAAAAAACATTCTTGTACATTATTTTTGTGATTAGAATAAACAGTTACAGAAAGTTATTTTAACAGGTGCTCTGCCAAAGGAATTTAAACTAGGAAAATATACTGGTAACAGTAAGGACTCGGGTAACAGGAAGGACAAAACAGTAACAGGATGGACAAAACAGTGTAAGAGGATGGACAATAAAATCTAAATTTTAAATAAAAAATGACTTTTTTTAAACTTTATTGGTTAGGAAAAGAGAAATAAATGTAAAATAAAAACATGATTTTGTCAAATCTGGCAAAATTGAGACAATAAAAGACATTTATGTTCATCCTGTTTCGAAATTTAATTGTAAAGTGCTATTAAAATATTTATCAGTTCAATTTTTGATTATTAAAGGTACTCTATGCTGTTGCAAAACTAAGAATTTTTCATAATTTCAAGAAAAACAAATGATGAAACTTAAATAGGTATATAAGTACCAGGATAATTTGTCCCTCCTGTTACAATTTCTGTCCATTCTGTTACAAAAGTGCATGTTTAAGTTATAATGGCACTATTTGAAGCACTAACTTATCTCAATATGATTTACGAAGTTTTTTAACATGTGTTATTAAACTTATATTACTTAGAAAAATAAAAGTAATTGTTTTTCTTGTTAAAACTCAAGATATGAAGTCCAGTTTTCCTTACTGTTACCATATTAATGGTAACAGGAATGACAGTAACAGGATAGACGTTTCTCATATAAATCACCCTTTATTTAGTATAACGTACTCTTTTTGCATCATCGAGACATTGAAACAGTTTCTTTGTAACTTAGTTAATCTGATTGTTTTAGCAGAATAAACAATTTAAAGAGTACTTGCATATTATGAAGGTAACAGATAGGACACATTTTCATTATACTCTACCAATAAGACAAACTTATCGACCTTTGAGCCCTTTCTTTACCCACTTTCAAATCATGGCGCTCATAAACTTGAGACAACAGAAAATGATCATATATTGTGGATAATGAAAACAGTTCCTAGGAAAAAGAGATAACTTTTATTTTAACATTTTCTTTTTGGTAACAGGAATGACATAAACTGGAGGGACATGTCACTTCCTGAATGTTAAATGCACAATACT